TAGGTGTGCCCTTTTGTTTTGAAAGTGTTCCTGTTTCTTTATATTTGCCCATATGTATCTCCCGCTTATATACAATGGAAGATTCATACATATGCTTCTGCCCTTAAACCAATGCTGGGCACACCAACACAATCTCATTTTGTGCGCTCAGTTATGGTTGCCACGTTTTCATAAATGTACTAAAACTGGTATTTTTCGTGCATGTGTCTTTTGCCCTATTTTGCTTATACGTATAGTGAAATAATGAATCGTTGAAGTTTTTAGTAACTAATACTATTAGTTTATAGAAACTTTTCCATACGAAAAATGTAATACTTGTAAAAATTTAAGTAGGTTTAACTCATTTGTTAAATACCTGCACGCAATTTTATTGGAATCTAATCTTTGAAATGCTGGCCGGCCAGATGATTTCGTTGTTTAGATTTTATTATCTTCATATAAATAGGAATTTAGTGCCAAAAATAGAATATAACTTATAAATATTATTCATTAAGTATTTTTTCGTATAAACCAGCATTCAAATTTCTATATCGATTTATTTAGATAGAAACAAATTATTCTAAAATATTGCATACTATTTGTGCACTTTTTTTATAAAAATCATGGAACTTATTACAAAATTATTGAACGTTGGTCAGCAAGCAGCCCATTTTATATATTCTTTTAATTGTCACGGCATGCAAAATACAGTTTGCTTGTATTATAAATACGTAGGTATAACCACATAACGGATATTGCGGCTTGTTGAAAGTTTTTTGAACAATAAACTCTGGTGCTTATATAGGGTCGCACTAGTTTGTGTTTGAACCGTCGCAAATGTATGCAAATACCAATCTAAGAAAAACACACCACTTTTTGCTTTGGGGATTTTTTGTAATATTTTTATTGAGCTTTGTACCACGATTGTTTATTACGAAAAATTGAAAAAGCAACAAAGTCTAAGCGGTAGAAGTTATAGCAGCTATTTCGGAGATCACCACAACTCTTCATCAGACTCCTTTTTTCTAGGCTTCAGCAGGGATCGAACCTGCGAATTCGATGTTCAAAGTCAGAAGCGTTAACCACTGAGCTATGTACATCCCGTAAACTCTTGTTGCTAATTCATTTTCCTTATTCAACCAACTACTATCAAGTGCAGCTGATTTGCCGCTATTTAAACTCGACAGCGTGGTTGTTGTTGTCAATTCTATACATCCATTTGCTTATTTGCTTTTTTGTATAGTTTTAGGCAGGCTCTTCCTAAACTATGTATTTGTCATTGTTATGTGGCGTATTAACATTTTATTTTTAATATTTTTATTGAGCTTTGTACCACGATTGTTTATTAGGAAAAATTGAAAAAGCAACAAAGTCTAAGCGGTAGAAGTTATAGCAGCTATTTCGGAGATCACCACATCTCTTCATCAGACTTCTTTTTTCTAGACTTCAGCAGGGATCGAACCTGCGAATTCGATGTTCAAAGTCAGAAGCGTTAACCACTGAGCTATGTACATCCCGTAAACTCTTGTTGCTAATTCATTTTTCCTTATTCAACCAACTACTAAACTCGACAGCGTGGTTGTTGTTGTCAATTCTATACATCCATTTGCTTATTTTGCTTTTTTGTATAGTTTTTGGCAGGCTCTTCCTAAACTATTGTTGAGGACATGGACGAATGAGGCGTTTTTCTATTCATTTTTTATTCCACATGTGCAAATAAGTATATATATATATAGTATATAAGCTTTTGAATTCGTGTTAACACTAAACACATCCAAAACCTTGAATTTTCTGTGAATTTTATACCAATGTATACATTGCAGTTACTAAACACTAAACATATCTAAACTGAATTTCCCCTAACATTACATGTATACAAATGTACACATTGTATCATAAACGCTTGCACATACATACACATATATTATAAAAGTTTGTAAAAATCCTAACGTTTAAAAAAAACCGCGAAGTGCTCGGGCACTCGCAATCTAACCCTCGCTCAGCATAGACTGACTATCGTTTCCTAACTCTACTACAGTCCACTAAATTTTAAATCTTTAACGTCAATAAAACCATTGAATTGTTATTTACATTATTAAAGAAAATTAATCTTTTATTTGCACGGAACTAAACACAGCCCCACTAAGTTGCCAAGAGCGCAACATATGGTCCTTAGCGAGCCATTCGATTTGAATTGGCAGCACTTACGGCGCCTAATCTGGCTAAGTATAGCAAGATGGACACTCTTTTCGCAGAAGTAAAATCGAGCGGTTGATTGCGAGCGGTGCGCGAAAAAAAAAACTCAAACTAACGCAAAGTAAAAAAAAATTTAAACAAAATCTGAATCAAAAACCAAAACTAAGCAAAATTAAAAAACAGTTTAACAAATTTGAACAAAAACTCAAACTTAATAGTGCGTGCTGTGGCGAACAAAATGCAAGTTTCCTTAAAGGGGACTGTGCACATACATATGTACACACATAAGTACATATGTAGTTACAAGTAAAAGCGCTTAAAGGCGAATAAACAAATAAACTAACAACTCAGTGTGCCTAAATAGATAAACTAACAAAGAAAAAGTTTCAAATAATTCGAAAAAAACACAAAATAATAGAACGTGAAAAAAAAAGATTTGTTTCTCGGGGGTTTTTAAGAAAACAGGAGAACCACGGCAGCAGCCCCGGCAACTTGGATTGCACACCACGCTAGAGCCCTAGAAACTTAGCGTTTCCATCGGAAGCAGCACCATCGTCAACCGGTGTACATCGGCAGCAGAGCAGTAGCAGCCAACGCACACAACAACAACAACAACGACAGCGACAGCACAAAAGGCAGCAATCGGTGCAGTTCCTAAGCAAAAAGTTTGTACCCAAGTCAAATGCCAAAGTGAATTACTCAAAAACATATGTACATATATGCATATATACATTTTATAAAAAGTTTAGCGGATTTTTGCAAAAAAACGGTAAACGGAATTGCTCTATTTTTTCATTTACCGTTGAGGAAAAAACCTCTCATTTCGCAGAGTTACCGTTCACCCTGTCGGTACATAAGCTCACAAAATTACATAAACACATATATGTATCCCCGTATCTCTCTTAAAATCGAGGAAAAATCCGCTAAACTACGTACATATATATATATAAATATACACTCCCTCACGGACATATAAATCATATAAGCTCATCGCAGTAATAATTGTTCACTAGTAAAATACGAAATCACAAATATTGTCAAGTGAAAGTTAAATTTCCTACTGGGAATTTGCAAACAAAATTTCCGGTTTCCCATCGCCTAATCACATCAAATAATATTGCTTCGGTCAGCCCCCTTCGCCTTTGTACGTTTGAACTACATAATACTCCAGCGCCAAAAATATATGTCCATAAGTGTGCATACATACTTGTTAGTAGATCAAACAGCCCATGTACATATTTGTTTTCAATTTGGTCTCCCTTTCTACCTTCTAGGTATATACATATATATACTCGTACATACACGGGGCAATAGCCCTTCACAGCTAAGCGCCAAACTACAGCAAACGGCTGACATAGGCACACGTACATATATGTACATATACCTACTATTTTGTATAATTGGCAAATTAGCTTGATTTTGTTTTTCACTTTCCCCGCGTTCACATACAAAAATACGTACATAGCTATTTACACGAATCTCAGTGCAGGTACCCGCGCATACATATTTCCGTATCTTAATTGTTTTAGAGCAAAACAAGTACACCCAATACATGCTATTGTGCTCAGATGCGCTGAGGCAATACAGTGACTCCACAAATTATTCGTATCAGTGCGAACGAAATCCGATTTTGTTAATTCCCCAATAAGCCCAAATTTTTAAATCAAAATAATTATTTTAAATAACACCCCAGAAATTTAAACTATTAAAATAACTTTAAACCCCTTCAATTTTTGCGAAAATTACGCACTCGTACATATACATACGTCCACATATACTTATATAAATTCTATTGTGCTCAGACGCGCTGAGACCATACAGTGACTCTCAAAATTTTTTACAAGTACTCAATTTATAAAATTAACCAAATAATTAGAAAGAGCACTTAATAAATTAAGTTAAAATGGCCGATGAAAAACAGGAAACCCCTTCCCTCCAGCCTCCTCACCAGGCAACAAAAAAAACACGGTCGAAGTCCCAAGCTGACGACGAGGAATTTACCAAAGCGCAGAAAAAATTCCTTTTCGAAATTTCTAAGCTGGAAAAATATTGCGCGAAATGGTGGAAGATTTGCGAAACAGGCCACTCGGAAGCCAGTCTCAAGCTTTTCTTGGAGGAACTCAACAAACACTTGTCATGGGTGGAGAACTCATACGAAGCGGTGAACATGAGCAGCTCGGACGAGAAATCCAGTAAGGCATGCGAGGCGAAATACGACACCGCGGTAGACACGTGCATAAGTACCAGGACGCGCATCAACGAATTATTCAGCGATCGCCAACCCGACATGATGGCCGCCAGTAACATCAGCAGTTCAGCACTACCAGCCCCACCCGAACTCCAAAACTATCTAAAAGTGCCTGCTTGGTGGAAACAGTATGCGGTGGATATGAAGACTGGCCGTCCTTTAGGGATATGTTCACAGCAGTGTACATAAATCACCCCAAACTCTCTCAAGCCCAGAAGCTTTATCATTTAAGGCAAAAAAACTCGAGGTAAAGCTGGACTCATAATTAAAAATCATGCACTTAACGACCACAACTTTGAGCTGGCATGGGACGCTTATACGAGAATCGCAGGATTCTCGTCGACAACCAGCTCAAGACCCTTTTTAATATTCAACCCATTCATAGTGAAAGTGGGGAAAAAATTCAGGCAATACAGACCACTATTAGCAATTGCCTCTCAACCCTCAATGCAAATGGTGTATCCACAAAAGACTGGGACCCTATGCTAATAAACCTCTGCTCCTCAAAACTCCCAGGCGAAACTCTCGCCTTATGGGAACAATCACTCAACACAAGAAAGGAGTTGCCTATCTGGTCCGAAATGGACCAATTCCTGACAACACGGTACGAAGTTGTAGAACGACTTAGTACGTATAGGCCAAATAAGCCCAAAGGCTTTAACCAAAATTACCCTCCTAGCTCATCAACCCCTAATAAGAATAATTCTTTCAGCTATAAAAGCAGAACCCACTCATTTAACGCTGAGATAAAAAAGCAGGCATCTTGCAAATTATGCAACTCCAACCACTCTATGATGAACTGCGTCAAATTCAAGGAGCTCTCAGTGCAGGATCGCAACAAATTCATAAAAGATAATCACTACTGTAGGAACTGTTTAGCCTTCTCCCATTCAGAAACTGAGTGCCATAGCAATTTTACCTGTGTTTACTGCCAAAAACGGCATCACTCTCTTCTCCATTACCCCGCTAAATCACAAACAGCAAATACAGGCACAAGGCCAAAAACGAATCAGGCGCGACTTCCACCCCCAGCGAATAGCGACCCAAACAGAGCGTCAACCTCTAAAGACGCTCAACAAAACCAAACTCCCTCGTCTTCTCAACAGAACCAAACCCTCTCACACTTCGCGAGTAGTAGAGAAAAAACTCTACTTCCTACCGCAAAAGTCTCAATCCTACACAATGGAGAAATATTCAAAATTCGAGCTCTTATAGATCAAGGGTCTCAGAAAACGTTCATTGCATCCCGCATACAAAAACTGCTTGGCCTCCCGACAAAGGCCACTAATTATGAAATTATGGGAATGGGTGGCCGCGTGATGCAAAAAGCGAACAAAATCTGCGCTATTACCATTTGTTCAGCCGATACAACCATGAACATAACCACAAACGCGATAATCCTCCCGCAACTCACTCATTTCTTGCCATCGTTCAAAGTTACATACATTGAACTGCAAGAATACTCATCTCTCCCTCTAGCGGACCCTAACTGCTTTACTCCAGCTCGAATAGACATGGTATTAGGAAGTGATGTCATCCCCCAAGTGCTACTTCCAGGCCTAAAAACCAATGTCGGTGGAAGTTTAATAGCGCAAAATTCAATATTTGGGTGGATTTTGAGTGGCCCAGTAACAGAGCACGTCTCATCATTCACGACCCAGGTAATTGAGAACTCGACAGACACTCTGAACGATCTACTCAAGAAGTTCTGGGAACAGGAGGAAGTACCATCAACCCCGACTCTCACCGACGACGACGTATTTTGCGAAAACCCCTACGAAAGGTCCACAGTTCGCAGAGATGACGGTCGTTATGTAGTAAAACTCCCCTTCAAAACTATCTTCCCAGACACGATTGCACTTGGACACTCAAGACCTGCAGCTCAACAACAGTACCTCAGTATCGAGCGGAGCATCGAAAGAAAACCTGAACTGCAGCAAACGTACACCAAATTCTTGGAAGAGTATCTGACCCTAGATCACATGGAACCCACAGCGTCGCAAGAGATTATACGTGATGGGAAGTATTTTTCCTTTTACTTACCCCACCACGCAGTTCTAAAGCCAGATAGTAAAACTACGAAAGTGCGAGTAGTTTTCAACGCTTCCAAACTGTCTCATTCTGGCATTTCTCTAAACGATATCCTCCACACGGGCCCCGTACTTCAAAATGATTTAATGCTCGTTATCCTCAAATGGCGACTGTACAAATACGTTTTCAATGGTGACATTGAGAAAATGTACCGCCAGATTTACGTACACCCAGAGGAACAAGATTTCCAAAGAATCGTATTCCGTAGAACCCCTCAAAGATCGGTCGAAGACTTCAAATTAAAAAGGGTGACCTCTGGTGTCAATTGCGCACCATACTTAGCTATAAGAACCCTGCACCAACTAGCCAAAGACTCACATGACAAACACCCAAAAGCCTCTAAGATTCTACTGAACGAAATTTACGTAGACGATATACTGTCAGGCGGACATGATCTCGACTCGACACTCACTTCGATGAATGAGGTAATTGCAGCACTAAAATCAGCAGGTTTCCCATTAAAGAAAATGACGGCAAACCACAAAGATATACTCCAAAATATACCCACATCTGACCGCTTAGAAGCAGACTTCCTCCAGTTCCCAGATTCCAGCTCCACAAAAACCCTCGGAATAAAATGGAATGCCCTTAATGATGAGTTCTCATACTCAATCGATCCTCTTCCAGACTCTAATGTAGCCACTAAAAAACAAATTTTGTCGTCCGTTGCTAAACTTTTCGACCCGGCAGGGTGGCTAACGCCAATGATGATCCAAGCCAAAATGTTACTCCAACAACTCTGGATGGAAGGTACAGGCTGGGACGAATCCGTCAAACCCGGCGCGCTTCACAAATGGAACGCATTTCAAGGAAACTTAATAGCAATCAGGGAAATCCGGATACCACGATGGGTTCAGTTTTCCCTTAATAAAACTATCCAACTTCACGGATTCTCAGACGCATACGAAAAGGCCTTCTGCGCCTGTGTCTACCTCAGAGTGGAACACAGCGAGAATCAAGTATCCTCTCATTTGCTCGCAGCGAAAAGTAAGGTTGCACCCTTACAAACAGTTAGTCTACCTCGCTTAGAACTCTGTGGAGCAGTACTTCTCTCCAAACTAATCAAGCAAATTCAATCCCAACTCGATTTGCCATCACACGAACTCACACTCTGGTCAGATTCCTCTATCGTTTTGGTCTGGTTGGAAAAACCCCCATGGACATGGAAGACGTATGTAGCGAACCGAACCTCTCTCATCCTACAGAATGTCAGCAACGCTACTTGCTGACACGTATCCAGCTCAGACAACCCTGCAGACCTAGGCACAAGAGGATGTAAGCCACAAGATCTAGCCTCCTGCTCGCTATGGTGGAATGGCCCCCAATGGCTCACTTAGCCCTCCACGCGTTGGCCAAAGATCGCGCCTCCAACTCTCTCTCCCCCCGAACAAAAATCGGTGGAAGCGTACCACACGATAGAGAATGAAGACCTTCTCAATCGATTCTCGTCATTTCCCCGCGCACTTAGGGTAATCGCCTACGTATATCGATTTATCCACAGTGCACGGAAGGAGCCAATACCCACCACATACACACTCACCCAAGAAGAAATAGGTTTCGTTAAACGCGTCTCATCATATGTGCCCAACGTAATCATTACGGAGAAGCGGTCGCACAGCTTGAAGCCTCCAAACCCATAAATAAAAAGAGCTCGTTACTATCTTTGAACCCTATGCTTGACAAAACAGGTCTGATGCGCGTAAACGGCCGTCTCAAATACGCCGCACTCAGCTATAATGAAAGACACCCTATTATAGTGCCGGAGGATTCAAGATATTTCGCGCTTTATGCTGATTTTCTCCACTCGCTCTTACTACACGCCGGCAAACAGTTAATGATTCGTGCAGTCCAACAGGAGTACTACGTACCTCGCCCCAAACAGAAAATCAAGGGGTTCATCTTCCACTGTAAAACGTGCACAATCCACAAACAAAAGATTAGATCCCAAATCATGGCTGCTCTACCTCCAGAAAGATCCACCTACTCACTACACTTCCACACCACTGGAGTGGATTTCGCAGGTCCATTCTTGGTGAAAACATCCGCATTACGCCGAAGCTCATACACGAAAGCTTATGTCTGTGTATTTGTATGCTTCTCCACGAAGGCGATCCACCTCGAACTCTGCTCGGACCTGGCAACTGAAGCCTTTAAGGCAAGCTTTGCCCGTTTTGTCGGCCGGCGAGGATTACCACACAAAGTCATGTCAGACAACGGCAAAACATTCGTTGGCGCACAACGATCCATTTATAGAGAACTCTCCAGTTTTTTCAAGGACGTCGTTCCAGACATTGCTGAACATTATGCCGTACATGGTCTCTCATAGCAATTCATACCCCCATATTCTCCTCATATGGGAGGTCTCTGGGAAGCTGCGGTAAAAAGCTTTAAGGCACACTTCAACAAAGTGGCAGGCAATCAAAAGTTTTCCTTTGAGGAGCTCACCACTCTCCTCATACGCATCGAAGCGGTCCTTAATTCCAGACCACTCTCTCCCATATCTCAGGACCCAAATGATTTGTTAGCATTAACTCCAGGTCATTTTCTACGTGGAGGCCCTTTACTCTCCCTACCAGAACCTAACGCTGAAAACCTCTCCCTGGTGAATAAGTGGCAAAAATTGAAGGTGCTCCACCACCAGTTTAGTACACGCTGGAAAAACGAATACCTAAAGGAGTTGCACAAGAGAAACAAATGGAAAGGACTCGAAACAAACATCACTGAAGGAGACTTAGTCGTCCTAAAAGATGACCTCCTCCCCCCAAATGAGTGGCGCCTTGGACGCATCGTAAAACTTTATCCCGGTCCTGATCAAAATGTTCGCGTAGCAGACATCCGTATCAAAACAGGAGTTGTCACTCGCAATATTGCGCGATTATGCTTATTACCCCCCTCATAAAGGTCTTTACTAATCATTACACATATTTACAGATGTGCGGCTTCATGTACAAAATCCGTAAACTTCACTCAACTTCACTCCTTTATTAACCCATCCATATGCACATTACATTACGTTCTCATTTTCACATTTTTCACACTCATCTGGAAATACGCTAATGCTATTTTGAAATTATTTTCTTCCTAGGACAAGTGACGAGCCGATGGAGCCGAACAAGTGCCGCTTATGTTGCCGCCCTCACTCCCTGCGCTATTGTAAGGCGTTCCGGGCTATGACTCCAGAGGACAGGCATGAATCGGCGCGGGCACACAAGTACTGTGTGATTTGGCCACCTCACATGCCACAGGAGCTTGCGATTCACCGGCCAGCTGCCACCGATGTGGCAGAGCGCACCACACGCTACTACACCGATCAACCTCGAGCTCGCCTGGGAAGAGGCACAAGAGGTCGACTCAAAACGGTCGAATCGCCAATCGCCGCACCATCCGCAAACCGCCACGAAGCCTCCAGAGCCACTCTGCCGCCAGACGTCGTCAGATCCGGGAGTTGCTAAACAAAGCCCAAGCTATTATCGAGCAGCTGAAGGAGTTGTTGCCGACATCCGCACAGGGCGGGCGCCATGTTGAGGACATGGACGAATGAGGCGTTTTTCTATTCATTTTTTATTCCACATGTGCAAATAAGTATATATATATAGTATATAAGCTTTTGAATTCGTGTTAACACTAAACACATACAAAACCTTGAATTTTCTGTGAATTTTATACCAATGTATACATTGCAGTTACTAAACACTAAACATATCTAAACTGAATTTCCCCTAACATTACATGTATACAAATGTACACATTGTATCATAAACGCTTGCACATACATACACATATATTATAAAAGTTTGTAAAAATCCTAACGTTTAAAAAAAACCGCGAAGTGCTCGGGCACTCGCAATCTAACCCTCGCTCAGCATAGACTGACTATCGTTTCCTAACTCTACTACAGTCCACTAAACTTTAAATCTTTAACGTCAATAAAACCATTGAATTGTTATTTACATTATTAAAGAAAATTAATCTTTTATTTGCACGGGACTAAACACAGCCCCACTAAGTTGCCAAGAGCGCAACAACTATGTATTTGTCATTGTTATGTGGCTTATTAACATTTTATTTTTAATATTTTTAATGAGCTTTGTAAATAAGGATTAAAATTTAAAAACTAATTAATACAACTCAAGTAAAATCTGTGGAAAATTAACAAATCCTTTTTTCGCAAAATCTATAAAGGACCCTTTTATTCCTCAAAATAACCTAGGTAACAGTTATTCGTCGCCACGCTGTAAATAAATGTCCCCATATAACAATATTTTTTGAATCTAAGTCCAAATTAAATTGATTTTCATAGGGCCAATTATTTGCTTAAAATAAAGCTCGTCATCGAAACGGAATGTTTTTCACAGTTACCATTCCAACACAACACTGTTTGTGTGTGGTCTTGGAATGTCTTTTAATGTTTCCTAATATGTACCTTTTAATTTATTTTTCGCACAAAAGGTACTTCGACAAATGTGTGCCTTTATTATATGTAACAAGTTTTGTCTTGTCAATATTCGATACTTTGCTCATTTTTATATCAAAAAAGCGAGTAACCTGCCTTCATTCGTATCAAAATATACTAAATTCAAAGATTTTTTTACCCACGCTCTACTAACGAACGCTCGCGAACGATTAAAAACACGATCGTCTCGTATCAGTTCATTGTGCGATTTTTACCGCGATAAATACTTGAGCAAACGATCGTTAGAGAAAGCATTGCCTACGTTTTCGTTGGCGAGAGATTGCGCACAATGATTTTCTGCACCAGCGCTCTTGCCACGGACGATCGCCTTCGTACGCTTGTTCATTTGCAGTGTGTATACATAAACTCTTTACATACGATCTCTTACGAACGAAAACGTAAGAAATGTTTTCTCTAACGCTCGTTTGATCAAGTATTTATCGCGGTAAAATACAATCACAAGACGAGCTAATTGAGCTAATCGTATTTATGAGCGTTCGCGAGCGAATTTTTCCGCACTCTGATATATACATACAGAATACGTACCTTAAACGCCAAAAAGATGTAAGCGAAATTTTATTGAATTTTTTATTGTTGATGCAGAAATGCATCTCGATGCTCTAGGAACATTTCTGCATCAAAAAGAAAATTTTGAAAAAAATGTCGCTTTCATCTTTTTGGCGGTTAGGGCTCAATATGTGAAAATTACAAGATTGACGGAAAATCTAACTCACGCACGCTCACGTTAGAACACGACGTGTCACGTAGAAAATCACGTGTTTTACCCATCTCTAGTTCGGACTACATATGTAGATCCCATGATTCAATAACACAAGGTTGGATTACCTGGCAGTTGTCTCGCTCCCGCATTCTGCCTTAGCCTGTGTTGCTTTCTTTTTTGATTAATAGAAACTACTACTAAAACACAAGGAGAAATTTAACATTAATTAGCAGCTGTTGACAAATACAATGTATACATTTTCTTTTGTTGATGAAGTTGTTCAAAAGCTCGAAAATTTTGAACAAACATTTGAGCAGTTGATCAATGAACGAGTTTCGAGAGAATATCGAGCTACCCGCATTGCTCGATACCCGGGTATCTTGAGCTCTATTAGGCAGCACG